TCCCCGAGGTAGCCGCCTCTTTGTCCCGACAGCCCAGGTAGAGAGGCCTGTGACACTCCTTTCTGACGTCATGCCAAGGAGGCATTGGCGTCTCGCGTAAAGACGTTTATGTGGCAGCGACCACGGGACTGTCGTTAAGCCATCTTACAGATGGGAAAACTGAGGTCCAGAACATGAAGTGATTTGCACTGGGTCACGCACATAGGAGGGAGTAGAGCTGGGGCTGCGCCCAGTGCCTCCCTGGAGACGGCTCGGCCGAGGCAGGCCCTACTCTGGGGACAAAGCGGCATCGAGAGGGGGCGACACGGTGGAGGCGGGGGGGAGGTGCCACCCTTTCAGGATCCTCCTGCCTCAGCGGTGGGTCCCAGGCCCTCACCACAGATTGACCAGCTGAGACCCCCAAGTGCACATTCACATGCTCTTGCCTTGTGCTGTGGCCTCTCTCTCGTCACGGAAGGCCACAGGGCGACTTTGAGGACTTCTGTCCAGTGACGACCTGTCCCCGAGACAGGACAGTCTCTGGTTAGCTTGGAGGGGTCTCTGACTTCCTGCCCCCCCCCCCCCCAGGCGGGGTGCATGCTGTTTCCTCACATCTCCCCCTGCGAGGTGCGCGTGCTCATGCTCCTGTACTCGTCCAAGAAGAAGATCTTCATGGGCCTCATCCCCTACGACCAGAGCGGCTTTGTCAACGCCATCCGGCAGGTCATTACCACGCGCAAACAGGTGTGCTGGTGGAGCCCAGGCCAGCCCTGCCCCAGACTTGTCAGCACGGCTTGGGGGGGTGGGGGGGTGGAGGGCGGTTCTTCACAGGAGGGCCTCCTACACACAGCAGGGCTTGGAGGTGGGCGGCAGGCTTATGGGGAGGGCTGCTATGCGGCTGGAAGGCTCTGGAGGGTAACTGTCCTGGTTCACCCCTTGCCAGTTATTTATGAGTAGTGTTCCTGTTTGTGCAACAAATTGTAGGGTTGTCTGGGTCTTAGGGGCAGACCCTGTGAGCTTTGTACCCCAGGTTGAGCATCTGAGACTTGTTCTGGGACACTGGGGAACCATGGAAGGTCTGTGAGCAGCTGAGGGGCCGGGCCAGCTCTGGGGCTGTGGCCAGACTGCCTGGAGACGGGGGCCAAGGTCTTCAGGACAGCTCTGAGGTTCCCCAGAAGCATCCCTGGGGCACTCCCAGGCATCGGCCCCACTTGTCTGTTCCTGCAGGCGGTGGGTCCCGGTGGGGTCGCGGGCCCAGTTCAGATCGTCAACAACAAGTTCCTGGCGTGGAGCGGGGTCATGGAGTGGCAAGAGGTGAGTCCTGGGGGGACCTGGGCGACCTGAAGACCAGCATGTCTTCGCTGACTGGGGTGCCTCCCCCCTCCTGATGTCTCCCCTCTTCCTCTCCCCAAAAGCCCAGGCCTGAGCCCAACAGTCGGTCCAAGAGGTGGCTGCCGTCGCATGTCTACGTGAACCAAGGGGAGATCCTGTGAGTGCCGGGCTGGGGGCGGAGGCAGCGTCTTGCCAAGACCCAACTTCCTGACCCCCGTCCCCTTGCCCCGCAGGAGGACCGAGCAGTGGCCAAGGAAGCTGTACATGCAGCTCATCCCGCAGCAGCTGCTGGTGAGTGTGATGGGAGGCACTCGGCCTTTGTGACAGACAGCAGACCGTGGGGTGGCCGGGGCGCTTCCCCGAGAAGGGGGCACTGGAGTTGCCGGCTGGAGAACATCCTAGACGGAGGGGCAGCACGCGCCAGGGCCCTGTGGCCAGCTTGTCCGGCAAGTGAAGATAGGCGGGTGTGGACCCGGTGGAGGTCAGAAGCGGGGGCGAGGCTGGGCGGCGTGGCTGCGGACCGTTCTGGGCGCCCTGTCTCACGGCGCCGTCCGGCCTGCCCGCAGACCACACTGGTGCCGCTGTTCCGGAACTCGCGCCTGGTACAGTTTCACTTCACCAAGGACCTGGAGACGCTCAAGAGCCTGTGCCGGATCATGGACAACGGCTTCGTGAGTGCGGCCTGTGCGAGTGGGTGGGGGCGCGGCCGGCCGGAAAGGCCCCCCTGGGCAGACGGGGCCGGGTCCACTCTGTGTTTGAAAACTAGAAGGCGGATGACGGCCAGTGGCTGTTTCCCCAAAGCCAGCTGGGGAGAGAGTGGCGGCAGCCCTCATGGTGACAGCCGGTCGGCCTCGTGTCCAGACACCTGTCGGCTCCCGGTCCATGGGACTCCCTGGGTCTGTGCCGTCCCGGACACATTTTATAGATGGGGAAACTGAGGCTCAGAGTAGGACTCGCACCCGGTGTGGTACCGGCCTCCAGGGTCGACTCGGAGTCTCGCCAGAGTCTCGAGGGGCTGGAACCACTGAGTGCTGACCGGTGCTCCCAGGTCCCTCCTCCACGGGGACCGGGTTTTCTCATGGACAATCCGAGGCTCCGGAAGAGCCCTGCCAGGCAGCGAGGTTTGTCTGCTCCCAGCCCGAGCTCTCAAGGTGCCGGCTTATCCTCCAGCGGGTCTTGACCTCAGTTTGTCTGCGAGGGGAGGTGCGTTGTCTCGGTGCTTGTGAAAGCACAGCGTCGCCACGTTTTGTGGACGTTTGCAGTCACAGGCCGGCATGCGTCCCCAACTATCTGATTCCGTCACAGCAGCGCAAGTGTGTTTGGAGGGAGGGCTGTGTGTTTCTTATGTCACAAAAGTTTGAGAGCACAGCGCTCCCACGGGGGAAGCTGGAAAAGCCGCGCATGCACCTGGCCGGCCCTGCCCAGCGCTCCGCGCTCCCTCGGTGGGGCCGGGGCTCAGGTAGGAGCTCCCCCCTGGACACCTGCCGCCGCCGTCTCCCCGGGGTGGCGCACAGGAAGGCACAGCCCCTTGTGGTTTGAGGGGCCTTGGGAGTCCTTGAACTCAGCCTCAGCTTGCCCACCTATAAGCCGGGGGTGGTGACTGGAGAGCAAGGTCCAGGGAGGCAGAGCGGGAGCGCTTCTCCCGAGGTGGCTGTCCGTTCGGCCGCGTCCCTGGTTTGAGGGAACAGTGTCGTTGACCGTTCACTGGGGATTCGTGGTTGGCACTTGAGCTGCTCCAGGGCCTACGTGTGGGGGACTTAGTGCTGGGCTTCCTGGGGCCCGAGGGGGCCTCTGCGAGTCCCGGCCATGGCCACCTGGCGCCTCGGGGGCAGTCCACGTACTCGCAAGCCCACCATCGCCCTGCTTGTCGTGGGCGCCGTGGTCTCCTTGGAGCACGTCGCAGCCAAGTCCCGGTGCCTCTGTGCAGAGCCCGTCGGTTCCCAGGCCGTTGCAGGCTTGTGTGTCCTTGTCCCCAAGCAGTAGCGACACCAGGGCCGGGGGGACGGCGGTCAGGACGCAGTGTGCCGCGGCTCCAAGGGGCGCCGGCCCACGTGCTCATGCCCCGGTGGCCGTGGGGAGGCGCATCCGCACCGCGGCCAGACGGTGACCCCCGCCCCCGCCCGCCAGGCCGGCTGCGTGCACTTCTCCTACAAGGCGTCGTGCGAGGTGCGCGTGCTCATGCTCCTCTACTCCTCGGAGAAGAAGATCTTCATCGGCCTCATCCCCCACGACCAGAGCAACTTCGTCAACGGCATCCGGCGCGTCATCGCCAACCAGCAGCAGGTCCTGCAGCGGAACCTGGAGCAGGAGCAGCAGCAGCGGGGGGTGAGGCCGGGACCCCCACCCCCCCACCCCTCCCCCCACTTCCCAAGTCCCCGCCACTGACGCAGCCCCCCTGCCTTCTTCCCCCGCAGATGGGGGGGTAGTGGCCACCCCCAGGCTGGGCCCCTCCAGGAGTCACAGACGAGGCCCCCGCCAAAACCGGTGAGTGGCATCCGGCCCGAGTGCACGAGGGACCCTCTGAGGTATCTGGGGCTTGGGGAGCAGTCGTGTGACTCTGGTCTTGAGACCGGAGCCGAGAGGCATGTCGGGGAAGCTTCCGGTAGCCCCAGGCCTCCTGGGAAACTGCAACCCTCTCCCCCAGGAGGTGATGGAGCCCCGGGCGGGGAGAGGGCTTGCCCCTTTGAGCCAGGGCCCCTCCCTGAGGAGCTGGGAGGCCCCGTCCAGCCCCTCCCCTTCTGCTCCTGCCCCCAGGTCAGATGCTTCTGAGCAGGGGCCCCTGGGATGGCAGCCGCCCAGCAAGATGGGCTGGAGGACCGCGTCGTGAGCTGTCTCCAAGGACGGTCTCCACCCCTGTACGTTTCCCCAATAAAGTCTTTTAAAAGCCCATTGGCCACCGTGCTCCATGTCCAGAAGCCTTGGCCGGGGGTCCTCAGACTGGGTGCATTGGCTCCCAGAGAGCTGATGGCCCAGCCCGCCCCCTGCTGTGGGGGGTGGGAACGTGCATCCTTGTGATGGTGCGGGGGGGGGCCCACTGAGAGCACCATCACCTGAGCGAAGATGGACGGGCCGCATGTGGAGCCACTTATGCCTTCAGTGGCAGGTCGGTCCCCAGACTGCAGGCTCTGCCGTGCCTAGTGGTCCTCTCTTCGAGGCCAGTCGCATGCCTGGGTCCTGCTCCCCACTGCCGCTGGGGTTCTCTCTCCATCCCTTTGGGTTCGACAGGTCGTGCTTGGCCAGCAGCAAACCCAAGCTGGGGCCGGGGACCTGCCCCCTGTGACTGTGTTCCCAGCACCCCCTTTACTGCTGCAGGCCCTGCCCCAAGGTCAACTTCAGCTCGCAGTTTCTCACTCACCAAATCCAGCTCTTATCCTCAGGGTCACAACACACATGCTCCTGCACTGGTTCTGCAGCCCGGCAGCCACGCGCAAGGAAGACCCTACCCCGCCCCCCCGGGGGGGCCGTGTCCCTTGCGGGGGCTCCCCAGCCTCGGTCTGGAGCACCCACGGCCATGGGCTGAGAGGCCTCAGTTACTCCGGCGGGAGAGGCATCTGGCCAGACACGCTCAGCACAAATCCCACCCCTGTAACCACCCCGGGAGTCCCCCCCCCCCCCCGCTTGGGGACTAGCCAGGTGCCAGTCCTTGGCCAGGCAGACCGCCCTTCTTCCCAGCACAATGGTGCCCGAGCTTAAAGGAAAACCATTTATTGGGGGTTGGGGGGCAGGGGCAGCTCAGCCCTCTGAGAACTGGCGGTACAGCCGCTCGAGGGGAGGTTCCACATTCACCCGGAACGGGATTTCCAGGATGGCCGAGAAGCCTTCCGCCAGCGTCGGGGCCTCGAACTGCTTTCTGGTGGCAGGGGTGAGGAGGGGAGGTGAGACACAGCCTGGGCCCCTGGCGCCCACCCGCTTGGAGCCTCCCCGCGGCGGGCTCACCTGTAGCCAAACATGACGACGTCGGACACGGGGGCGTGAGAGGAGCCGGTCATCTCTCGGAACTGTGGGGGGTGGGGGTCAGGGGTCAGGCTGGGAGGCGGGGGCTGGGATGGAGGGGGGCGGGGGGCACGGGCCAGCTCACCCGGTTGTTGTGGCGCGCCTGCTCCAGCGTGGCGCCGAAGAGGAAGCAGCGGCAAGGGACCCCTGCGTCCCGGGCGCACTTAATGTACCTGTTGGGCCAGGAAGGGGCCGGGCTGGTGAGGGGCCCCAGGCCCGCCCTACAAAGGTCACCCGGGGGACCCTGGTACCTGGCCCGGGTGGGAGGGTCCGGGTTTGTGTTGTCGATCACGACCCGTTTCCTTTGCTTTAGAGCGGTCTCGCACGTGGTCACGCAGCGCTGCCATGAGCCCAGGGTGTCCTGGGGGACACGGCAGGTCAGGAGACCTGGGGGGGTGGGGGGGGGGGGCGGGGGCACGCAGGGACCCAGAAGAGGCACAGAGACCCAGACGGAAGTGGGGAGTGAGCACCAGGACAGGGGCGGGGAGGCCTTGCGAGGCGGCACGGAGACCTGGAGGGGAATCGGCAACCCAGTAAGGAGGGGAAAGCGAACGAGGGGCCGGGCAGCACGGCCCTCGGCCTGGGGCGTGGGTGTCTCACCCGGTTCACGTGGACGTAGCCAGCCGACACGAGATGCTCCTGCAGGAAGGTGGTCTTGCCAGCTGTGAAGCGGGGGACGGGATCAGGGGGCGCCCGAGGACCCAGAGAGGGGCTGGGGCTTCCGGATGTCAGGGGGTCAGGTGTCTCACCCCCAGGAAATCCCACGGCGACCACCACTTCAGGGCTGTGACTCAAGAGGGAGCTGGCCTCAGGGAGGTAGAGCGGCCCCGAGGGGGAGACGGTTCTCTGGGAGGGGTGGCCGTGATGAGTGTGACTCCCGCCTCCCCCCTCCCCCCTCCCCCCCCTCCCTCCCCGAGGGCCTCACCGGGTCAAAGGTGGGGAGCACAAAGCTGGCGACGGGCCACTTCAGGAAGAACTCCTCCGGTGTGGCGAAGGGCAAGCCAAGGTTGAGGGCAAACTGGGAGAGGAGGCGGGGGACACAGAGGTCAGACAAGGTGGGGACGCAGCTCCAGGCGGGCAGGGGACGGGGGGCCTCACCAGACGGTCCGCACAAGAGAAGTCTTTCTTCTTCCGCCCCGGGGCCCAGTTGGCTGGGCGTCCGGCTGCGTCTGGAACACAGGGGACACACCCCCGCGTCCACCAGCAGCCTTGGGGACACACGTTCCCCAGCCCTAGTGGATCCATCCGCACACCCTCCCCATCCCCAGGCCCTTACCTCCCACAAAGACACTGTCCCCTATGGAGATGGGCACGCCCTCGTTGGCCTGGGGAGGGACAGGTGACGGCAGTAAGGAGCCTGCTTCCACATCTCCCTGGAGATGCTTGGCTCAGTCGGTGCCCTGCTGGAGGCGCCACCCTCAGGCCACTTCTCACCCCCTTCACCGCCACCGCCCAGATCCTGGGCTGTTCCATCCTGGTTTGTGGGCTTCTGCCCTCACGGTCTGTTCCCCACATGGCCACCAGAGGGTGCCAGTTCCTGCTCATGTTGACTCCCCCACCCCTCCCAACCCTACCGGGCACCACCCCTTGCTCCCCTGCAGGGTAAAGGGGAAGCCCTTACCTGGGTCCTCAAGACATCACAGTCCCACACCTACCCGCCCTGACCTCATACCCCTCTCTCTCCCCCCTCAACCACTCAGGTCCAGCCACCCAGGCCTCTTCACTGTCCCTAAACACCCTAGTCACAGACCTGCCTCAGGACCTTTACACTTGCTGCTTCTCCCACCTAGACCACTCCTCCTAGATACCCTCATGGCTCCCCCCCACAACCAGCTTCAGGTCTAAAAGGCACCTCGAAGAGACCTTACCTGACCACCGCAGGTACACCCTGCCTCATCTTGCCTCGCTTCCTCCCACTATTTTACACACCAGCGTGTGCACGTACAGTCTGCACCCTCACTGGTATGTGGGTGCCCCAGCAGGCCTGTCTGGTACACGGATACCTTCAGCTCAGGAAGCTGTTGAACTTTAGAACAATTGCACACACAAAACAACCAACAAGCGACTGGTTTCCTCCTTGACTGCTCTGACTTTCTGAGTTCAAGAGCATTGCCCTCACCTACCAACAGAATGTGACACAGAAGGCGAGGACCTGGGGAGGGGAGGAGAGGAAGAGGAAGGAGGCAGGACGGCAAACCCCGGAGACCTGTGGAGGGGAGGCCGGGAAGAGGGAAGAGGGGAATGACCCCGACGCCGAGGCTCACCTGCTCCCGCAGATGGTCCCACATGCCGATCACCGGCTTCCGGTACAAGCCGGCGTGCGTGGCCACCAGCACCTGTGGGTGGGAGTCACTGAAGGCAGACACCCTCCTGGGCTCCTTCCCAGGATCCTCCAAGGATGCTACCCCAACCCTCACCAATCCAGAGAGCTCCCGGTGCCCCAGAACCGGCCACTTCTGATGAGTTTCTCAGCATAACCCCGCCCTCCACCTCCCCACTGGCACTTAAGGCTTCTCCCCAGGCCCCTGTCCCCTCCTCTCTGTGCCCCCAGCTCAGCATCTCTGTTCCCCTCTCTCTGGGTCCCCACCCCCCACCTCCACAACCCTCCGACTCCCTGGCAGCCATACCTGAAAGGGAAGGCCCAGCTTCTCCACCACAGCCTCCACCTTGGCCTTGAACTCCTCTGCTGGCAGCTTCCCGCGCCCGATGCCCATCTGGTTGGTGAAGATCACCAGCTGGGGAGCACACGGATGTCACCTGGTGCCCTCCTCGCCCGGGCCCCGGCCTGCCCTGTGGCCCGACCATCACGCACAAAGCACACGCACCTTGTAGCCTTCCTCATCCAGTTCCCGGAGCTTACGGGGAATCTCTAGGTACAAGATCCTAGGGCGGATGGGAAAGGGGAAAGGGGTAAGGTGACGGGGGACCCCCTGTGGGTGCCTCACTCACCCCCTTGTTCTGCCTCCTATCACCTCCAGTCACTGGGGCCAGTGGGAAAGACCTTCCCAGAGCGGGTGGTGATGAGGGTCCCATCCAGATCAAAGGCGGCCACCTGATGGTCAGCGAGAAAAGAGGAACAGCAACACTGTTACGCCTCCCATCCCCCCCCCTCGCAAGGCGGAGACTTACCACTCGCCCTTCACCCCTAGGGAAACTGAGTCACAGAGCCTCCACATTTTACGAGAGGGCAAAGCCACAGCAAGGATGTGTCCCTGACACCAGAGCGTAGAGCCTAAATCTTTACCCTACTGCCTCCCACTTCTTCTAAGCGCCTCAGTATTCCAGTCTTTAAAATGGGTTTCACGGGGCACCTGGGTGGTTCGGTCGGTTAAGCGCCGAACTTCAACTCAGGTCATGATCTCAGGGTTTGTGGATTCAAGCCCCACATCGGGTTCTCAGCGTAGAGCCCGCTTCAGATCCTCTGTCTGCCTCTCTCTGCCCCTCCCCTGCTCACTCTCACTCTCTGGCGCTCAAAAATAAGCATTAAAAATTTTGTTTTTGGGGGTTCGTATCCTGCCCACCCTCCTCCCCTGGCCTTCACGCCAGAAGTCTAATAACCCTGGAAATAAAAACAGGAGTGGGGTTGTTTGGGTACTAACTGCGTGTCAGGGGCTGTGCCTCGTGCTTTGCATGGATTCAGCATTTTACTGGGGAGACTAGTGGCGCTAAGGACACGTGAAGTAAGGACACGTGAGCTCGGGTCTCTGCTACAATGTGCTACACCTGCTACCATGATTGTGGCTCGTTGCTGAGGTTACTGCGGGTCAGGCCGGAGCTGACAAACATCCACGCCCCCAGCGCCTGACTGTCATCAGGTCCACTTCTCAGACAAAAAAAAAAAAAAAAAAAAGTGGAGGCCTAGAGAGGTTGAATGACCTGCCCAGGGGCACACAGCAAACTTAAGGCCAAGCCCCCGCCTGCCTGCGTGGCTCCTTCAGCTTGGCCCTCACCTTGCCCCGGGGCTTCACCCCAGGTGCTGTAAACACTAGCAGCTTCTCAAAATTCTCCCAGCCGGAGGATGACTTCCACATCCGCTTCTTCTTCGGTGGTTCAATGTCCCCTGAAGCGTCTGGAGCCACCGGAGGGGTGCCGGGTGGAGTGTCTTGCTGGGATTCAGACGTGCGGGCCTCTTCCCAGCGCAGGGTTAGCGGGTGGAGGCCGTTGACCAAATACAGTGTGTCCCCCACCCTCAGAGAGCCTTCTGCCCCCGGACTCAGCTCCTGGGTCCCAGCAGTTGAGGGGTTAATTCCCAGCTGCAAAGGGAGAGAGCCGAGCTGGCATTAACTGCATCCCCCACCAGGAACCTCCTCTAATTAAACGGGACTTCTTTTCCCCACCTGCCAGTCAGAACCATAAGCCCCGCCTCTTCGCTGTGTACCACCAATCAGGAATCGGGAAATGTTACAGGCGGCCAGCCTTATCCAATTTAAATGTGGATGGATTCCCCAACTGAAGAAGGTAATACGCCGAGGCTTCTCTATTGGCCACACCCCCTTCCCTCCAAACCAGATTTTTTCCAATGGGCCTGTTCCCGGCCGGGTTGCTATTCTTGCCCAACGCCACCCCCAGGCCTCACGGAGGAACTGGTACCTGTTTCACTGCCACGGTCTTAGTCCCAGGGTCTGCGACCAGCTCCACTGAGGGTTGAGAGGGTGGAGTCAGAATGTGCATCCTTGTGTGATCGTTTTCCTCATTACTGGAGAGCACGGCCAGCTTTAAGCCACAGGATGGGGGCCATAGCACCCATTCCGGAGGGGAAAGCAGTTTATTTCTAAATGGGATCGGCTCTCTCCTTTATATGCAGGAATCAGATAAAGGCCTTAGGACTGCCTGTGACGCGGGTTCTCGCCTAGGGACAGGGCGGGCATTGTTTCCGTAAAGAATTGGCTTCTCCCTGATGAGCCGTGTGCTTAGGTGCAGGTCCTGGGCTTCTTCCCCCGTTACCACCTAGGCCTGCGTAGTACTTCTCACCATAGGATCGGCTCTCTCCTTGTCAAGGGTCGTGACCTGACTCAAGCCTTCCCGGTGACCTGTAAGCATCCTCCTCTGACACCTCTATAGGGATTGGTTCTATCCTCTCCCCACTAAGGCGTCTGGCTAGTTCCAGGTCAGGCACAGCCTCTTTCTCTTCCTATACTCTCCAGAGGGCACCTATCAACTTCAGGACTAGCTACACCACGCAATTCCGCCTGGTGGCCAAACATCTCCCTTACTGGACCGGCCGTCCAGCTTTCCTGCACTGTGTTCCCGCTCCAGCAGCGGACCACACCCCCTGCAGCCCCGGCCCCGCCCACCTTGGTTTCTGGAGCACTTCCGGTCGGTAACCCGGGTCAAGGGTCCCCGGCCGAGGACCAGGGCTTGCCCGTCCGAGGGCAGGAAGATGGGGGGCGCACTCCCAGGGGGGCTCTCCAGCCACAGGCGGCCCTGGGGCTCCACCTCGGCCATCCCTAGCGCCGGCCTAAGGGGAAGTAGGTAAACAGGTTTGATTGACAGAACGCCCTCAAATTGCCACAGGAAGTCCCTCCTCCTCCCTCCCCGTCCACCAGGAATTTCCCTTCTTCCGCTGAAGGCTCCGGAAATCCCACCCTCTTGCCGGCCTCAGGCTCGCGCCGTTTCCCAGGCGACGACGCCCCGCTCAGTCCTGCTGCGAGCCCGGACCCCTACGTCCGAAGGCAAAAGCCAAGAACCTCGCGCGCGCCCTCAGCTCGGCCCACGCTCACCATGCCGGACCGGGGCTCACCTGCCACTTGCGACCAGGGAAGTCCAGCCCGAGGCGCTCTGTCCGCAACTCCACCGGCTTCTTTCTCTGTTTCTCGGCGGACGGAAATGACTCGTCCTACGAAAGGGGGCAGGGCCTTGGCTCCTCCCATTACAGGAGCCCCGCCCCTTTCCAGACCTGCCCCTTTGGTCCTCCGGTGCTCTGACCTTCATCTCTCCCGCAGCAATGGACGGCTCGGGCCAGTAGGGGGTGTGGGTCTTCTTTTCGCAGATTTTCTTTCCACGTTGAACTCTGTAACATTCATTCCCTTAGTTATAGCGGGAGAAACTTTTTTTCTATTTGATGATCATTGCCAGTCCAAGAAATCTCCGCCCCCGACAGCAGCCCTGACCCTCAATACTTCGATTTTCTCATCTGTAAAGTGGGGATAATCGTTTCCATTCATGGGGTTACTAGGAAGATTAAAAGAGTTAATACATGTTAATAACTTTATAAAATTGTTTGGCTGGTAGTTCGTCCTGTTTATGTCTCATCTGTTGCGCATTCCTCCGGTGGTGGTCTGATGGGAGATGAAATTACAGGTTTACTGGACCCCGCCTAGACTTGGGATCAGGTGCCAATTTCAGCTCTGTCAGGCGGAAAACCCCCGGCCTCAAGTGGAGGTTCCTGGTTTTGCTGGGGTCTATGTGGACTCAGAACACTGATTCCTTAAAGACTATTCACATTCCAACATTCATCTCCCTGAAGAGTGGGGATCTATGGTCACACAGGGCTGGAATCCCCACTCCCACCCTGTGAATCTCTCTTTTATCTGTAAAAACTCCCAGCTTTGCACTGAAAATCCATGAAATGCTGCTCACTCGGCTTCAGGAAATGTTTGTTGAATGAACACAACACACTTTGTACTCATTTGCCAGAGGTAAAATTCTTTAATCTCAGACCACCCCTCCCAACTCCCAATCCCCACCCCCGACTCTCTCCCCCACACAAGGGCCGGAGAGCGAGGGCCCCTGCCCCCCACCTTGGGCGGACGAAGGCCCTTTAAGGCACCTGTGGGGGTGGGGGGAGAGGGGCGGGAGCTGGTGCCGTCCGGGCTGCAAGGACGGACTTCGATTGGCAGGCTGTTGTGGGATGGAACCAATGAGAGGGTATCAGACGCAGGGACAGAATTGGGCCATCCCTGGGAGGGGGCAGAGGGACACTTGGTCGGGACTAGGTCAAAAACAACCCCAGTCCCAGTAGTGTAAAGAACGTAAATTTAAGGCCGCAGGCCAATGCTGGGCACAGGAGGAAGGTTTGGCCACGCCCTCAGGACGCTGGAGCCAATCAGGCGGGACAGCCCAGGGAGGGTGGGATGGCGGCTCCGGGAGATTGGTCAAGCCCTTTGGGTTCGAGCCAATCAAATGTAGGAGCTTCCCATCTCTAGGCCGAAATGGCTTGCTACTTCCCAATCCTGTGGCTTGGATTTTCGCTTTCGACCAATGCCGCGCGAGCAAAGCCCTTGTCGCTAGGCAAAAAAACAACAGTTGACCCATTTTTGGGCTTAAAACTGGCCGCCCCGATCAGGGAGCGAGGTAATCCCTTCATCGAAAGAATCTGTCGCAGGGCAGAGAAAGCGGCGACAGACCCAATCGAGAAACTAGATAGGTCCCGCTCCTCGGCGCGTGAGGGGATCGCGGGCTGGAAGGATGGCGGGGATTGGCAGGGAGGGGGCAATCCCGGGGCCCGGGCGACCCGTAAGGTCGGTCCCAGGTCTGACTCGGATTGGCCGGCCCAGGGGGCGGGGCAGGGGTGTAGTGTGGAGCGGAGCGGACGCTGGGCCGGGAAGCTCTTTGCTTGGGCCTCAGTATTTCCGCTTCAGCTTCTGGAAGTCGCTGGTGTTGAGCCGCGGCCGCGGCAGGTCCCCGAAGACCTGGGTGTCCTCGGCCTCCCGCAGCACCAGCGCGCGCATGCTCGCCGCGATGCGGTCCAGGTCCGGCGAGGAGGGCTGCGGAACGGGGGTGGGGTCAGCGCCCGCTGCGGCCCCGCCTCTTTGGCGCCACGCCCCATCCCAACGCTTCTCGCCTGTTAGGAAGGACCTCCCCACCCCCCCTCCCGGTCTTGCTCCATGTGGGATCCTTCCACCCAACTCAAACACCACCTCCTCCAAGAAGCCTTCCTGCCTCTCTCCTCCTCCCCTTCTTGGCCTGACTCCACGCGCAAGAACTACTTGTCCCATCGCCGTTCTAGTTCCTTATACAATGGAAGTGCTGCTTGTCTGCTGACCATCAAGGCTGTGTGCACCCAGAGAGTGTCATGTCTAAGGATTTGGGGTGGGCTTGGCATCGAGTCATGTAACAATCAGGCCTCCGCCACCGACACGCTGTCAACGGGCATTTCATCTCCCTAGGCTTCTCTCTCCCCTTTAAAACATAGGGATGATGACAGAGCCTGAGACCATCAGCCCAGTGACTGCTCAAGAGCCCTGAGCCATCACGTTGCTGGCGCTGTAAGGAAAGGACCCCTTTTCCTGTTGGCCTCCACCTGGGAGGGGCCCTGTCATCCTGTCCCCCAGCAACTAGTGCAATCTCCCGTATGGCCCGATCCCTCGAGCTGGGCCTGGCTTCCAGCAGAACAGGAGAGGCCACGGGCAGAAGCTGCACGAGAGCCCCTCCGGAGTCCAGCCCGGCACCCCCACCCTCAGGCCTCAAATGTCAGTTCACTGGGTTTCCACCACTGGCAACAAGGATGGATGCTGCCGGTGAGTCAACGAGGACTCTGAGAGGCACACGGGGAGGGGGCCCAAGGGACCCAGGGCCTCCTGCCTTGTGGCCTGTAACTCCTTTCCAAAAGGAAGCTGGGTTCCAATCCCAGCTCTGTCCCTCACAAGTTGAGGTCCCAAGGAAGTCACATACACTCCCCGTGTGTCAGGGAAGTTCCGGGATGGATGGTGAGGGTCCACCCAGGCCAGCCCAGGGATACCACGTGTACAACTGTGTGGGAGAAACAGAGGAAGTGGGGGAGAGGGAAATGCCAGGAGGAGCCAGAAATATGCAGGGTGGGGACAATAGGTGATCTGACCCCTCTGAGCCTCAGTTTCTCCTTCTGGAGGGGATACCAAAGTACTGGTACCTTGCCTGGAGCAGGTATTCTGTAAATAAAGCTATTCCTAGAAACCAGAAAAGACTTTCCCTACAAGGCACTGGGGTACATTATAAGGCTGCAATAGTTAAAAAAATTTTAGGGCTCTGGCCCCAAAACTTGCCTCATGAGGTGGAGGGGAGGATCAATCCTATGAAATGTGCCATCCATGCCTGAGGGCTTCCTGGAGGAAGTGACTCTGAGTCTTTCCCTCCACCCTCCTTCCCTTTTCCCCTCTGCCCCTCACCGGCCCATTCTCCTCATCCGACGATCGTGCTTCTGTCCTCTTCTCCTTGAAGGCCCAGACGGGCACGGACACGGGCAAGGACTTGGCATACTGCTGTGTGGGCAGGGCTGAGGCCGGGGGCACTGAGTAGGCTGGGGGGCCAGCAGGGGTCTCCTCGCTCAGACTGCCATCTGGGGGAGAGGGTGGACTTCAGCCTCTGTCCCTGCCTTCATCCCAGCAGCCCTGGGCATGGGGACAGCCTGGGACACTTACCATCTGTGCTCTCAGGGTCCGACTCACAGAACGGGGGCAGGTCCTGGAGTGTGGCATCCTCGTCCATCACAAAGAGCCCTGTGGATGGTGTTAGTGGCCCAGGCTCGAATCCTGAGATCACCACCATAGGGGCCAGGCCCTTGCGAGCCTCAGGGCTTCTGGAATTATTCCCTCTGCCTCAAACACCCTTGCCCCGGTTATCTTCCAGGTCATCAGCAGAAACAAATCCAGTTTCTATCTGTTACACCCTCGGGTGAAAACAACTGGCTGGATAAACATGAAATCTCTTAAGATCTGTTTGGGCTGAACTGGCTCAAAAAACAGACTGAGAAAAATAGGAGACGATTATGAGCCTGTTTGACAAATGGGGACCAGGAGGCACAGAGAAGTTATATCATTGCCCAAAGTTCCGTAGCTAATAATCGTGTCACCAGGATTTGAACCCAGGCCACCGGGCTCTAGAGTCTGTGCCCTTAACCCTATGCAGGCTGTCTCCAGCAACAATGAAGAAGCAAGGCTTAGTAGTAGCCTACTTGCTGAGCAGTAGTAAGTCCTACTTGCTGAGCCCCTCCACAAGCTCCTAATCACTCTTCAAAGCCCTAATGTTACAGGCCAGTCTCTTTGAAGTCCAACCTCCAAATTACCCCCAAAACACACAGCTGCATTTTCCCTTGGCCTCTCTAAGCTATTGACTGCATCCCTGACTCCTATCTTTGTTCTCACGAGCATGTGGCGCCCCAGATTTGGAAAGAACTGTGCTGCTCAAGCTCCCAGCTCAGGTCCCAACCCTATGGCCTCCACGGGGCACTGCCTCACATGGGGACCACCAACTTCTTGGCCAGGCCAGGAGTCCCTCAAGAAAAGGGCCTGGACTGGCTCTGTGTCTGTCTAGCACCTCCCACCACGGGGCTGGCGCCAGGTAACATGTAAGGAAACTGAGGCCCAGAGATGGGGACTGACCCGCTCAAGGTCTCCCGGCAAGTCAGCCAGGGCTCAGAGACAAGCAAGTCCCACCTCCCCAGGAAAACCTACCTTGGAGGCGACTTGCCGAGCCAAGAGCCACCCCAGCCCCTGCCCCTCTCACCTCCGTTATCGCTGACGCCCAGCCGCTCCCCCGAGGTCTCGGTCTCTGTCGGCTCGTCCTCATCTTCTTCGTCTTCCTCCCTGGCCAGGGTGGGCCGAGGTGGGCTCCGTGCGGGGCTGGGTGGCTGTGGTGCTGGTGGGGGCGCGGGGGGCCTGGCGGCAGCGGCGGCCCTGTGGGCCAGGGCGATGTCGTGGAGGCAGCGGCGGGCGGCCTCTGCCAGGGCCCCCCGGCCGTGGGCTGCATAGGCACAGGGACCCGGGCGGGGCGGTGGGGGCGGCGCGGCGGTCAGCAGCACCAGCTCCGTGCCTGTCCGGGCCCGGAAACGCTCAGCGGCCCCCACCACCGCCTCCCACAGCTCCTCGGGGCGCCCCGACGCCATCCACGCCCTGCAGGGCAGAGCAGGACAGAGAGCTGAGGCTCCGCTGATGGCTGATGGCGCGGCCTACACCCAGCCCTGTGTGTCCACCTGTCCCTAGAGGCCACGCCCATCCCTCCCAGCCACCCTGTCCCTGCTGAGCTCAGCTTCTTCCCCAAAGCCCGCTACTCCCCCAGATTTCCTCCCCACCCAGAGCTCCTGGTACCATCCTCAACCCTCCAGCCCC